TGCCTCAATCCTGATACAGCTGTTCTATGAAAGCAACCAAAACATTGCCTAAGGAAATTATATGAACATGGGAGAATATATTCCAATAAATTAGTAAACACTTAAGAAAATGCTGGAGGGGGAGAAAACACACAAAACCAAAAGCACCCTCTGCTTTGGTAATGAATTAATAACTAATGAAAGGATTAAACCATCGTTCTTCAAGCTTTTTTTTGAGTATTCTCTTTTAGCCTAACTGGTAGCACTTCTCATTCAGAAAATGAAGATCCTAAGATACAGAGGTTGAGATAATATGTGCTATCTGTGTACAAGTCATGTTGTTCTAGCAGTTATTCTTACATAGAAGATACGTACATTCTTGTTTATTTTAGTGGTTTGAAGTCCTTAGTGTCCAGCGGGCAGCAGAGCATATTTCAAGGCCTCCAAAACTTTTTATAAAGGCAGAATAAGTCAACAATATTTTACTACTTTTTTTTTTTTTTAATCTAAGCTTGCATTTTTTTGAGTACTATAAAATCCCTTGGGATTTTTTGCCAATTAGAAACTACAGGATAAAGTCTTTAGCAAAGTATCTATCATAACCTGTCTTTATCTTTGCTCACAAGTTCCTTTGCAAGCAATGAAGAAGCCATAACAATATACTTTAACAATAGTGAATATCATCTGTGATTATATAAATGAATAAGACAGGTTAGGCATATGAAACAAGATCACTCCATCAGTTTGTGGTGTTCCCATAAAAGGAATGGAGAAGGCAAACATTTGTAGGAAGGGAAGTTTCACCCTCAGAATAAATATGTTTGGTGGAGAGAAACAAGTGTGAGGAGATGTGCACACCTGATACTGAAGAAAAGCCAGTTCAGGCTTTATACACTGGAGAAACTGTTCAAGAGCTGCTCAGCTCATCCATGTTAAAAAATATTACCCCCATAATCCTGCCAAGGACAGTGAGACCTATTGTAGTTGACTGAATAAACACTGGTCATTCGAGTTTAAGTGTCATAGGAGCAGCAGTAATTTATGCACCTGATTTTTCTAGCACATCCAAAACATTTCTTTTCAAAAAGCAAGCCAGGTTCTTGAACAACATAACTTGGTATGGCTAACTAAAGCAAATGGCTCCATTCCAGGCTTTCTGAGCTGTTTGTCTTGCCCACCGTGCATCACGTTGCCTATTCACATGAGTTGTTCACTTTTAATTTTGCCTGAGATTCTGGCATGGTTCTGTCTGCCAATTTTCACAATCATGGCAGAGATTTGTTTCATTTTGAATAAGACTGGCTTAAAAAAGTACTAGTCTAAACTTACATGAAAAGCTGCAATGCGTAAGAGGGTCACCAAGGGCAGGACAGAGCCCTTAGTCTGGACAGGATTTATTGTGATTAGGCAAGCTTATGCCAGTCACCATCATTATCAGGAATTTTGTGGGTCAGGAACCAAAAAGAGATTGACCATATGGATGTGAACCTAATGGATTTGTATTTTAATAAACAGGGCAGGCTGACATAAAAACAAACTTTATTGCTGTTGTTGTAAAAAAAGTACAAAGAAACCTTGTGATAAAGTATCTCGTGTTGGCTCGTAAGGCTCAGCAAAACAAGAGGAGTCATAAAAAATGCATGTTGGGTTGCAGAGGTGGAAAGGTGATTCTGGCTGAAAAGGCATCAAACCAAGAGCCAGCATGTCAGGTCTATGTCAGTACATCCACAAGAGTTGTGTGGGAGAGCTGAGCCCAGTAATGATGGGTCCCAGCTGTAAAACCTGCCTATCTAGGACTGTGGAAAATGTGTGCGTGACATTGCTTTTGCAAACTCTCTACTAGTCTGATCCTGGCTAGTCCTGGCCCTGAAAGCCACCAGATTAAGAAAGCAGCATTAGAGTGCTTCTGCTGCTCATCTATGCACTCTGGGTACCAGCACCTAACCCTGTATAATGAATCATCTGCACTATAACAGCAATGGCAGTTTAAATGAACCCTGTTCACAACTGCTTCCCTCATTGCCTCACTTAAGCCTATCCAACTATTTTTTGTGGTCACACTGTAAACCATATAAAGAAAAAGATATACTTTTAAAACCAAAATCTTTTACTTTGATTATTTGTTGTTTCCACAGAGCAGAGGGTTGAATCGGTTCAGACAAGAAGGTATATGGAAAAGGAGTAAGTGATGCAAGAGGACTGAAAAATCTCTTTGTCACCAAAGAAAGTAGAGTCTGGATCCAGAATTATTAACCCAGCAAATACCTGCCACCTGCAGCTATACTGGACCAGGGCAAGCAAGGTTAGGTCTGTCACAGATGTGAGAGAGATGCAAGGAGCTAATAAAGCCAAGAGCAATAGTTTCTTTCTCCTTCTGTTTCTGAAGATGAGAGGTGAAGGCTCAGCACTTTGCCTTGTGCCTTTTCATTTTGCCCTCTTTTGTTTATGTCCCTTCCCCTTTCTTTAAGGCTGATGACTCCAGCAGAAAGAAAGGGGTGCTTCTACTCTCATAACCACCAATTGCTTTGCTGTAATAGAAAAGCATTAATACACAAAAGATCAATTCCATACAGAAACTGGGGAGACACAGTTTACTCCCCATAGTTTTCCAATCAAATAAATGTGAGAGCATCCACTTATCTAGTCAACCAAACACAGAAAGTTTTCAGAACCTATATAACTGTTAGTGATGACAAAAAGGTTTCACATTATCTACCTCATCCACATTTCCTCAAAGATCAATATAGCTGAGCACGTCTTCTGCATACTTCTGTAAGGAGACAAATATAAAACTTAGTTGCTTCAAATGTATTTAGGAACCAGTCTTTAAATGGAAAAGAAGGTGAAAAAATCTTAAAAAATATCAATACAGTGTTAGAATTGCATTATTTGAAACAAGGATGAATGCGATAGTGCAAAGTCAAAAGGATTTACTCAGCAACTTTCCAGAGGTGATAAATGATCTTTGTTAAAACATGGTTGGCACTATGCATTTTATTAACATGTAAAGTGTTTCAATTTGGTAATTTGAAAATGTCAACGCTGAAATTCCTCAAATGGCTTTGCAGTGAGGGGAGGGAATATTAAAGCCTCATACGAGCTTCACATTGCTAACTTCAGGCAAGTTCAAGCCTCTTGAAGAGCCATAGCTACTTAGCAGAATTGGGATTTCAATGGGTTGCAGTACGATTTCTGCTGATACCCTGCAAGGTGGATTGGTAGAGGTTTAGGACTGGAACTTCTACAGTCTTTGTTTAAAAGCTCTTTTGAGCTCAGGCAAAGTATCTGGTGGCAGAGGAACAGACCTCAAAATAAATAGATTTGGAAGCTTCAGGTGCCACTCATCTCTCTGGAAATGTATCTCTTGTTTCCTGGGTCTTAGCTCTTCCTTCTGCACACAGGGATAGTAATCCATCCCTACCACACTGTGGGTTCTGTGAGCTAGTTGATACCTGTGATTTATTATAGTAGAACAGCAGATACTGCTTTTAGTTCCTGTGCAGTCCTGCACTTCTCCATCTGTTCCACAGTGCTAGTTTCTCTTTTTTCTTCCTCATATTTAATGATTCTTGGGCCTATGTTCATTCACTGCTTTCAAGCTCTTTGTTATAACCTTGATTTGTATTATGAAGCATCTTCTTAGTCTTGCAGTGTTCAGCCCCCACTGAAGAGTTTAAAAGGTGTGCTACACCTAAGCTAGGTTAACTACTGTATCCTCCATGACACACAGCTCAGTTCTGGTTTGGCCAAGTAGAGAGTTTGGGGTACACTAAAGTCTGTAGGACAGCAAGAAAGCCTGGCCCACAGAGGGGAACCAAAACTATGCCATGACGTGTTTTGGTTTTCTCATGAGTAAGCACATGAAGTTGCTCCATTGAAAAATCCTTGATCATTCTTCCCAGGTTACCAAAATAGTGTGGGAGTGCTTTCTAACCTCTGAAATAAATTAATTACTTGAAATAAGATGTGCAGCAACATGGATCTTTAAGAATTTAATGTGTCATTCTTCAAGTTACAAGATATGTGGCCTCTATATTTATGGATGCCCCACTTTTATGATAACGGAGTGATGAGTTAAAAGAGTAAAATATTGTCTATTAACAGAAGAAAATAATTCTTTAGCTATAGGGCCTTTATCTTCATGGCATGGTATGAAAATAACCAATAATATGATTCCTTTATCTTAGAAAGTGAGTTTCAGTAAAGCCAAATGAGGTGTTGGACCCATTTCTGTCCCTCTCTGGTTTATTTTGGTTTTTACAGGTTAAATGTGTCTTACTCCAGGGATAATCCCGTTCTGGACTGTAAACAACAGTGGAGAAACTGACTCCTTATCTTAGTTGTACAACATCTAGCACTACTGTAGTAAAAACAGTTAGTAACTGTAGCATGCATTCTCAGGAACACTCATGCAGTCCAGAACTTCTCAACAAAGAGTGAAATATTAAATCTGAAACTTTTTAATCAACTTTGACTCATTAAAGCAGAAACCCTTCATGACAAGTGAATATAGAGTACACTTGAATATACAGAAGATGTTTGAAACGTTTCAGAACTGAGAGCTATCATGGGTTTGCCATTGCTTTTCATTTCAGTTTGTGAATTCATAGTTACAGAGAACTGAAGAAGAAAGAAAAACTTAGAAAAGAATTTAGAATTATCTAGATGAAACTCTATCACCTGACCAACATGTTTTAAGGGATTGGGGATGTCCTTAGTTCAAGAAATCACTCTTTGTTTTTGATTTATTCCTCATAGGTCTTTTTAAGCTGTATATGTGCAGCATGAAGAACTGTAGTAAAATAAGGCCTCAGCTGAAGTGAGCATACAATATATTGATTTTTAAGAAGAAATCTTTTGATTCTTTTTTTTTCTTCTAAGGAAATGCACTGTTAAGCTTAGTTAAAAGGGAGAGAGGCAAACCAAGGCCTGGGTTGTCTTTAATGCAGCTTTCTGAAGGTGGCTTTATAAAACTGGAAAGCAAAAGCCATTTTAAAGTGATTTGCAAGAAGAGTATATACCTCTATAGAGAAACCTTCATTTGGGTCATTTGGGTTTCTCTCTTTTCCCTGGAAGCAGCTAGTCAAAACTGTCTGTATGCAACAGAAAGATAAAAATTTCAATTAGGTTGAGTGCTGTCATAAGCAGACTACATGAGAAGGTTTGAGATAATATGCATTACATATTGATGTCTATCAGCCCTGAGAACATAGCCATGTTTTATTCCATGCCCCTTTTGTAGGTTTGGCAGCAGTGGCACCCAATAAAGGCCTAATCATATTAATTTATGCCCTTATCAATTATGCATTCAGATTCCCCCGATAGCTTGTCAGTTTTTATTCACTATTTTCTGAAAAATACGCCTATTACAGTTACTGAGCAAATAGGAGGACTGTCAGAAACTGAGATTTAAAGAATATTACTTAAAAGGGGTGGGTTTCTTTAATTTATAAATCTTGTATTATATGTCATGCATTTGTTAGTTTTAAAAGAGGTGACTGCAGGGACAGATGTCACATTAAGGACTTTCTGAAAACAAGGGGAGAAGTCTCCTAAAGAAAGCTCGGTGTTTTATTCAACTTTTCTTGAAAGCAAAGTATCCTGTGGTCTGTAGATGTAGTAAAAACGTATTAGCTTTTTTAGTTTAATGTGAATTTGAGTCTGTGTCTCTCAAATGATGTGCGCCAATGAAGAACTTAACAAAAGTCTTTTCAGCTTGTAAACTGATTTCTGTATGGAAAACAGTATTGTAGCCAGCAGTGTGTTAGTGTCTCTATGCTCTACATTTAGTGCCCATCTTTGGGGTCACCATAAGTGGCAACAGGACAGATAAATGGATGTAGTGTGTGAAGTACATAAGTTGCCCAGTGCAGCAATATCTACAAGGGAGCTGTTGCGTAGTCCGTGCTAGCAACTTAAAAATAACCTAGTCCAGCCTAGCTTATTCAAACATACTATACAGTTTGAATGGGCCTGTAAGAGTGCTTTGTTTAGGGGTAGACAAGCTCTTTGGATGCAAAACTCCCAGATTTCCCCACTTACCACCCTTTGGTTTGCATTGCTGGCCAGTCTCGGAGATGACAGTCAGAACTCATACATGTGGGACTAACCTGGGCAATACAAACTGCAGGGCAAGGCAATGTTTTCCAACCTACCATCGGATGAGATGATGGTAGAGCTGGCCTAGAGACAGGGCAGACTGTCTTTTCTGTCCTTTCCTGTCATACCAGTAAAAAGGACTGAGGTTTATCCCCAGAAGGAGGTCCTGTCTGGATCATAGCCCCCTCAAAGCCAGACCACTTGACTTGTTTTCTCAGGCTTACTATAATGCCAAAAGAAATATATGTAATGAAACAAAACAAACAAACAAAAACCACCAAAACGCAAACAGATCTGTGTTCTAATTGTTCCCATCCTTGTCTCTTGGTACTTGAAACCTGACAGCTCTTCTCTCACCAGCTCCCTGCCACTAACCACTGCTCAAGAAAGTCCCTCTTTTCCATCTGCTGCCTGCATCTCCCTCACTCCAAGAACATGTCCTCCTCTTTCTCATTCACTTTCAGCCTCTCTCTCCTACTTCTAGAGCAGTTAACTCAATTTCACATCCTATTATAACACTATGCTGCCAGGCTTTCCCTCACCCTTCTTTTAAGAGTATGTTTTTTCACTAAGGGTCTAAGTGTGGAAAAATACTTTAGAAAAGGCCAAAAAAAAAAAAAAAAAGTAAAAGAAGGAACAAAACCTCAGAAGTGCTAATGCTGGCAGGCCCAGAGTCTTCAGCAAAGGTCTCAAGCCTCTCACTTCTGTCCTCGCTGCAGATGAGCTCGATGTAGCCAATGTACAATGGGCTCCCTACCCAGCCCCTATCTTCAGAGGGTTTTCCCAGGACTACTTCTCCCCTGCTGGAAAGTTCAGCAGGATAAGCATCATCCTTTTAGTGTGATCCAGTCCAGGGGAGCCCCCAGAGCACATCATGATATTCTGCAGAAGGCCATCTCCCGTTCCTGACAAGAAAGGAAGGTCTGAATGAAGGGAACCTTATTTGACATTTGTGTTTTCCCATTATATAGGAAATACAAACCCTCAGGACTCGCCAAAATCCTCTCTAGCTTCAATACAGGTGGGTAACTGAGGCCTAAAGATTTTGGTTTTTTTCCCCTACCCCTGAGCACATGTCGCTTTTCAGCTCTGCCCAACCACTTCAGTAATCAATGAAGGCTGAACTCTTGCCTATTAAGCAAATTTGTTGTTCCTCCTTTACAAATTCACACACCCTTGCAAAGTACTCCAGCTTCACAATGGGTTGTACCTTCCCTTTCCTCTGCCTCTTTGAAGATGTTGCTCTTTGTTCAGTGAATTTGCCCAACTCCAGGAACATGTACAACATCACCTAAATCATTCCAGTGTTTATATTAGCCTGATGGTGTTAATGAGGTTTTGCTATGTTACAGCATTTAAAATCTTTATAGTATCTTAAACATATTGTACTTTAAAATATCCCCTTTGGGTATGTAAGTATTATCCAAATCATATAAATGGAGAAGTAAAAACAAATGTTTAGGTATTTGCCTAAAGTCATGCAATAAGTCAGTGTCAGAGCTAAGAGTTAAACCCACCTATTTGTGATGAGTCAGCCCATGCTTGCATGATTTGGTGTGTTCCTACTATGGAGATCAGCCTATTCATTGCACATAGTACTCATTTCAATAATTTCATAAACTGGCTCTAGGAGTTGCCTTCCCTTTAATAATAACTTTACCAGAAATGCTTTTGCTTGCCTAGCTCAATGTTTTTCATATACAGGGAGGGGAGACCTTGTAACAGTCTTCCAATACCTAAAGGGAGCCTACGGGAAATCTGGAGAGGGACTTTGTACAAGGGCATGCAGTGACAGGACAAGGAGGAATGGTTTGAATTGAAAGAGGGGAGATCGAGATTAGATATGGGGAAGAAATTCTTCCCTGTAAGGGTGATGAGGCGTTGGCACAAGTTGCCCAGAGAAGCTGTGGCTGCCCCATCCCTGGCAGTGTTCAAGGCCAGGTTGGATAGGGCTTGGAGCCACCTGGTCTAATGGAAGGTGTTCCTGCCCATGGCAGGAGGTTGGAACTAGGTGATATTTAAGGTCCCTTCCAATCCAAACCATTCTATGATCTACATAGGGAGTAGCATATGGAATGTAAAGCTTGCATAGTAGCTGGTTTTTACTGTGTTTTGTTTGGGGTTTTCCTTAAAAAGGACAGAAATTAAGTGGAAGAAGAGATGACTGTCTTCCTAAAGTGCTGGGAACTTTTCCTGTGCCTGCCCTTGAAATTAAAAAGACTCTGGACAGCCATTTACCTTATGGGGCTGAGGAGTTCACCTCCATAATTTTTTTTTCTCTACTTTTTAAGGGTTTGGTAAGACTTTTAGGGAAGGAAGTGTGCATGTGAAAGGGAGAAGAACATACAGGTAGCAAATATATTTGAGAACAATTATGCTGGGAGTAGGTAATCCAGAAAGTGATGAAATAGTGAAGTGACAAGACCTGGCCTGAACATCTAAAACTCTGAAGATGTTTGGCAGGGAAAATTAGAACAATTAAAGAGTGCCTCTGGGAAGCTTTACCTTGCATGACCAGAACTTCAACACAACATCTTGGTGTACTTGGTGCTTTTACAGGGGTAATACTCATATGAATATGAATGGGTTTGCCAGTATCTAAGTCATCTGCAGGATTTTAGTCTGCACTTGGTTTGGGTGCGTTTCTGTATCACCTTTTGTTTCCTGAGATCTTGCAGTGATGTGCAGTTCTGTCTGACCCTCTGCTATTGCCTCAGCTCCCCTTTTGCAGTATTTTGGGGTTGCTTTAGTGGAGTGAAGGATCCTCTCTTCCACATTTGCTTTCTCAAACTTTGCCATTTAAAACTGAACTGCCTGGGGGGCTATTGGTTGGTGTTTAATAATGTCCTGGAAGCTCTCTCTTCATCATTACAGTAGATTTTTATACTTCAGTATATGAAGTTCTTAAGCGTTTCCCTTGACCAGCAGCCTAAGGATTACAGAATAGCACACACTAAAACAAAAAACTGGTACGTCTTTAAAATTCCAGAGTCAAAGGCCCAGAAAATGCTGCTGGATTTTGCTGAGATATACTTTCCCCCTTCCTAAAAAAAAAAAATGTAAATCCAAGCAGTAGCATAAAAGGGCCTAGGAAAAGTAGAAATTTACTCAGCCAATGAACGAATTAATCTGTTTGGAAAACGAAGCTAATAATAACGTACTTAGGAGACAAAGATAAAATGCAATTCTTAGGTAGGGAAAAAAGAAACACTGAGACCTCTTCAGATAGCTTCTCTTCACTGAGCAGTAATCCATAGCAGGGAAAGGAGCTTATTTGAGAGGCATCTAAAGAAATGCATGGTGAAAAAGCAAAGCAATAACGTCTCTGCATGTGTTTTTAGAGAGTTGGGACAGTATTATTCTTTTTTCATACATCCCATCACCTAAACAGTTCAGGCACTAGGCACCAGTAAAATCAGAGATACTGATGTGTGATACTGCAGTGATTGATCATTTTGGCTTATTTTAAGCTCACACCTTAAGAAGAAAAGCATCTGAGGAGGGGTTTAGAGACTGCAAACTTCAGGTTGGAAACTCATTTCATCTTTGTTTCTGGCTGATGTGCACCTCCACACATCATAGAATCATAGAAGAACTTGGGTTAGAAGGGACTTTCAAAACTCATCTAGTCCAACCCCTCTGCAGTAAGCAGGGGCATCTTCAACTAGATCAGGTTGCTCGGAACGTGCTGGCAGTCAGCTGGTTTTCCACATCACTTTTGGTTTTAGGTGATCATATGAGTGCCTGACAGGCAGAATCATCAACATATTTACAATTGATTGCTTTTCTATTGCAAAAACGGTGTTTTTTAAAAATGGAGATGCAGATGAAAAGATCTATTTCTAGTCCACTTTCCATCCCTTTGAAAAATAAAAGCAATAATTAGGGGGGAGGCAGGAACGGGATTTCCTCTGCACAGGTTTTGTCTGACAGGAAAGAACAAACATGGGTACTGCCATGCTGTTATTGTCTAAATTGTTAATTTCATACACTTGTTTTAGAAGCCAGCCTTTCAAACCTGAATTACTTGAGGGGAATACTCACAATTCACAGAGAGAAAAATAAAAAGAATTAATCAGAAAATTAGCTGTTAGGAGAATCTATAAAGTCTAAATATTTTCAAAAATATAAGGAATTAAAGAATAGTTGGTAAGAATTTACAAGTATCTGAAAACATGAAATGCTGAAGGTTTAAAAAATAACACAGCTTGGTATCAGAGTGACAAAATTGTGTTAAATTAAAGGAGCTCATAGAAGTCTAAATTTCCTGAAACCCAACTCAAAATGTGCTTGAATGGTGAGATTGTTTCAAATATGAAATAATTCCTCAAAGAACTGAAGAAATTATATGGATTGCAGCACTTCTAAGAGAGGAAGTAGACTACCAAAATGAAGTATATTAAAGATGTTAAATGTACTATTCCTCATCTTTACACATTGACCTTGTTTCTGTGTTCAGAAACCCTATATAGAGTTGTTGAGTTGGTCAATAAACTAATCCAGCCATCAATAAAGCATCTTCTTGTTTATTAATATGTGATTAAAAATGTATATGATAAAAAGATATTGACTGAGCAGAGTTTGGGTGACAAGAACAATTATAGCTTCAAGCCTAATCAGTACATGAGCTCTTTAACCCAGTGAAAGTCAATAGTCTATTTCTGAACAATTACACATTTATTTTTAAATAAAGTATTTGGGATTTGCTAGTGCTCTCATTTTCTCTTCATGATTTAAACGTGGACACAAAACCAGGAAAGAAAACAGCCACAAAATAAATCACCCAATGTAATTCCACTTTCTGTTTCTTGTATGATAAATCTGTAAATAGCAAATAAGATTTGTTTTAATTATAATTTGCTAGCTACAAATACATTAAACTTGGAATAAGTATCTCTATTCTGTATTGTAATACAACAATACTAGTTGTATTACTAGTTGTCTTAATTACTAGGGTCTTAATCATATTTCTACAATGTCCTAATTTACTTATACATTTCTGTTGCTATAATTTTAAGCTAAAGTCATAATTTTATTGCATTCAAAGTACTCCATCTTGATTTTGTTAAAGCAATTTCTTAATA